TTTGATCGAACAACTTATGAGCATGCGAGGTATAGTATAACGCTTGTATTTCACCGTAGAAGCAGTGTGCATTATTACGAAAATACATGCTTTATCATACATCTACCATCCGTTGTTGCTCTTCCGTGTCAGTTGGGTGAGAACCGGATCTAAATGTAGAAGTCATTTACTAGAAACTAGAGCGTGAAGTAGTCTGTAAATGTTGTTTCAAGAAGGAGCGAGTGAGGTGGGGTCTACGCCGCTTTGAACAATACTTTATGATATCACGGGCTGTCTGCTTAATGGGGAGGAAATCCCGAAGTAATGCAGGTAACTAACATTTACAACTTGTTTCTTATAAGAGACCTTACTCTGTGAGAGTTGGTTTCGAATCCGTATGGGACTCGATCCAAAAGGTACTTGAATCTGTACTCAACTGAGCAGAAATGAAATCCCAAATATGACAAATGTTACAACACTTTCTTAAATCTTTTATTTACTTTGGTTCCGAATGTCTGAAGAAGATAGTCAAGTGTCGAAATGAATATATATTTTACTTTTCAACCTGAAAATGTTGTTTTTTTTAAGTTGAGTTAAAATACTTTCAAGTCTTAGTATATTTTCAGTTTTGTTTTGATCTAGACAGTTAGTTCAAAGGCATTGATACACATGTAAATAAATATGTTTTCAAAGCAACATTGCATACACACCCAACTCACTCACTCACTTAAACTGACTACACGTCGTGTGTTATATTTGATTCTCAAACTCTCAACTTTAAATTCTATCATTGGAAATTTTCCCTTTCATTAACATACTGTCATTTTCACTTTTTAATTCCACGGTTGCAGGTTTATCACAATGGCACGTGATAATTACGTTGAGGACCTCACCTTAGAGGCTTCTTGAGCACATCCATGAGAAGGTGAAGGCCTCCGTCCGCCCTCAGGTCAACGTGGAGACGGCCAAACAGTTAGAAGAGAACATTCGACAAAAATTGGAAAAAGCCTTGAACAAGTCTCTGAATAATCTAGAAAGAAGGTTCTTCAAGTACGCAGACAAGTGTGTAGACGCCTCTGGAAACAGGCAGTTTAAACAGATCTCAAGATTCATATCAAGGGCTGAGAACGACGTGGACGCCAACTTTAATGAAAGTCAAACACAAACGGGAATCGGTAAGTTTACCAACGACCATCGGATATTGTATCTTCTACTGGAACGCGTCAGGGTGAGAGAGAATACCTTGCTGACCCGAGGTGAGAGCGATTGTCCCTGGGTGAGAGCGATTGCCCCGGGGTGAGACCGATTGTCCCGGGGTGAGACCGATTGTCCCGGGTGAGAGCGATTGTCCCAGGAGGAGGTGGGTGGGGTGAGTGGCGGTGGAGAGCGATTGTCCCGGGTGAGAGCGATTGTCCTGGGTGAGAGCGATTGCCCCGGGGTGAGACCGATTGTCCTGGGTGAGAGCGATTGTCCCGGGTGAGAGGGATTGGTCCCGGGGTGAGAGCGATTGTCCCGGGTGAGAGTGATTGCCCCGGGGGTGAGAGCGATTGTCCCGGGTGAGAGCGATTGTCCCGGGTGAGAGCGATTGTCCCGGGGTGAGGGATTGTCCTTCAAGCGTCCAACCTACGTTAGTTGATGTGCGTGGGTTAGGTAATACGCTGTTTTCTTTCAATAACCCTATCCTGCTTGAGGCATTCCAGTTTTGCTTGGGATTCCCAGAAAACCCTAAGCAAACAGTTTGTCAGCTTGTGGAACAGAGCCCTTGTTGGGATATATTAGATGTCTCCACGCCAAATTCAAATTAACAGATGATTGAACGCCGGCATTTCTGCGCGGAGAAATAGGCTACCTGGTTATTTACTGGGGCGATTGCGGCCATTACAGCATGGACATTGAATTTAGGGCTACGCAGCTGAGTGGCACGACGTTGTGATACGTCATTTTTACGTCGCCGCAAAGGGTTTAAGTTATTTGATACCAACGTATTTTACGTTGTCTTGACGATTCCTATTTAACGTTAATGGTCCGAATAGTTACTGTATTTGTTTTGGTCGTGTTTTCTGAAGCTGTGGCTGAATGGTGAAGAAGAATCCCAAAGTGAAGGAAACGTTTTACAGAAAACTCTATCGTGACACGGTTATAAGAAACGTTGTTTTAACGTTGTGAGAGACAAAAGCATGTGCTGGTTTCCCAACGTAAATTTACAGCATTTATTTATTACGTTGTATGACATATCGTTATAAATAATAATCACCCATTCTCAATACAAGTGCGCAATTACTAAAAATTCACGCCGTCGCCATATGCAATACATTTCCGGTGAATGCTTGAACGAAACGTTACAATATACGATTGATTTGAATTTAAAATCGAAGTGGCAACATAGTAATCAACGTTAGTGTCATGCTTTTGCGGTCTCATAGCGGCCAATGCCCCAGCTAGAGGGCGGGAAAATAGGAATGTCGCCAACAGGAGATGGGTATATCGACTACGTTAGTGAGATGACATACCGGTTCGGAAGCGAAACAAGTATCTAATGATAGCACAGATCTATCTAGACAGCTTTTAAGAAGCCATACTGTTAAGCGTTTTCCTATGAACTCTTTAAAAATGAAATGTTCCTATGTCGCTGTTTCATGTATTCTACGTTATGGACTATATTCAGCTGAAATTCAATTCAGACGCAGTGAACATCTGTATTATCGCATAGTTAGTTTTTCATTTGTGGAATAAAAGAAAAAAATATTTTATATAGCGTCTTTGCATATACTTGGTACATAACTTTCTATTAAAAAATAACCATGGTTAAGGATGTATTATTACACGTAATGGCCTTTCTGGCAAAGTAAGAAGAAAATAACGCGTCAAAATCTCATACATATAGGTTGGTTAGGTGCTAGCAATACGTAACGCGGG